CTCATCGCAAACTTCTAAGCTCTTAGCGACTCTTACATTCTACTTTCTCGATTATTACTTCTTTTACTTTAATACTACAGTTCCATTCTTACCTGATGAGCCCCTTAAGCAAGGACGAAACGCGTCATAGATAGCTTAGGAATATTTCTTCTTTCTTAAACTCACCATTTGTTTTTGCTGCGTATCAGAGCAGTCTATTGATATGTTTCTATATCAACTAGATTGTACCTACCTAAGATGATAACTAACTCGACAGCACAATGATGAACTGTTGGGAGTAATCTTTACTCTTATAATGATTCTTGTGATTGATTTGAGTTTTTCATATCATTATTGGCAGCTATATTCCTTTTATAAATTCTATCTGATGAGTCCCTTAAGCAAGGACGAAACGCGTCATAGATAGCTTAGGAATATTTCTTCTTTCTTAAACTCACCCTCACCCACACCCCAAAAGTGAGAACTAAAAAAGAAATATATTTCACTTGAGTTTACTGTTGGTGATTTTGCGATGAGCTACAATATCTGACTCACATGCTTGACTGAAGAAGAGAGACAGAACTTCGGCGTACGACTTACCTTGACTATACGCATCAAGAGAGTGCCAAAATCGACGAAAGAGCTTCATGTGAATTTTTCGTTCTTTAAAGTTCTCACGAGATTCGGGAATGAGTTGAAGCATCGTTGGAAATGTCTGATCACTCTTTCTCCTTACATATTGCTTCATGTGGCACCAAAGCCCTTCGATTGCATTCAATTCACAATGATATTTCGGGCAAAAGATTACCTTGATATCATACTTCCTACCTAATATTTCAAGTTTCGAAACATTCTGAAATGCAGGATGTTGCGCAAGTAGAGCTCGTAGGTCGACTAGCTTGATAGAAGGGTGAACATCAACTCCTAAGTCTTTTGCTAGTACAAGCAAACCTTTTGTTTTCCCTCGATACTCACCGGTTGTGAAACGATATGAAATAGAAATGAACTTACCTGTATGGTCAACGTAATCAATCGAATCGACGGGACAGTTCGTACCTATTCCTTTACTAAATTCATTGATAGAATACTCACGTGCAGAATGAGTTCGAGCATTATCTACTATCACGACAATTTCATGACCTTTAAAATCCTGTTTGAAAGAAATAAGTTGAAAGAAACGCTCGAACTGAGAAAGAATCGTTTGATTATCGAAATAGCCTTCAATACCTACATTTATGCCGGCAGTAGCCGAGTTTCCAACATAGTTTAAAAATTCATCAGAATTCGAAAGAGAAGGAAATTTTTTGACAGCTTTACGATACTCAGTATCAGAAAGGGAGAAGAACGGACCACTTGGGTGTTGAATAATGAAATCGCTAATCATGTAGGAACGTCCACGACCTTTGGAGAAAAAAGGAGTCTTACCTTCTACAGTCCACCTTTTAGTCGACATTTCCCCACTTTTAAACGTCGACTCATCATGAACTAAAACAAATGAAGAAAGCAATTATTTGAAAATTTATAGTGAATTAATCAAAATTTACTTACAGATAAGAACGGAAGGATTGTGTGAAGGGATTTTCCATACAGGCTGATCACCATCGTTTATTGTATAATATGAATTTTTCCTTCGAAGAAAATAAGAAATGAATTCTTGTCTATGAACAATTACATCTTGCCTTTCATGCCCTTCAAAGTAAGGCCTTTGACTATTTGGCTCGAATTTGGCACCCCAACGTCGGAGATCTAAACGACAACTCTCAACAGAACGAATTAAAACAGTATCGAGTTTCGAAGTTTGTGTAAGTTTGTAGAACTCTTTATCAATGAAGTTTGCCAAGTTGATTACTGTAAAATCAGCTGATTTACGTGAGCAAGATTCAATGGCGAAAAGTTTAGCTTCTATCTCGAGTTCTGGAAACACATAATAAAATGTTTCGTGATGTTTCCCTCCTCGACCTTCCTCCTGAAATGTTTCAATATTACCAGACATGAAAACTTCTGCCCACTTATGAGCATTTTCACATCGGTACGCACCAATACTTTTTAAAACTTCGTCAGCCTGACGCCACGTGAAATTGAGATAGCGAAGAAGTGTATAGATGAGAACTGACAACTTACGAGATCCACATGTACTCTTACAAATTTCAAACAAATCACCAATCATAGGTAAATCTAATTTATATTTGAAATTTTCATCACCACTTTCCCCTTCGCTTCCATTCTCTTTCTCTTCATAATCTAGATCTATAATACTTGCCGTTTCAACTTCCATCAATGATGATGACGGTGACATTGGTGGTTGTTTCTGTTGTCGATCAACTTCCTGTTCCCATCGACTGGCGATTGCATTTTGACTTTTTAATGCTTTTTTCGACTTTCGAGGCATATTAAGTTACTTGAAGTGATATTGAACACTACGGTTCGATGTTCAGAAAATTGAAAATGTTAATGTGTGTGTGACACAAGTTCGTTTCGTATGAAAATATACAGTCAAAGCACGAGACAGAACGCAAGAGAATTAAAAAGCATAAGATATATTGTCATCACATACAACAGAACGCAAGAGAAATGTGCTATATTAAATAACCTTCCCTCCCAATAGAACGTCCTTCCGTATTGAAAAGCCTCCTCCCCGAAATAGTAGGCCCTTCTGAAGCAAAAATCGTAAAAAAACGCTGTACAGGGGTAGGGGGATTTTTCCAAAAAAGTCATTTTTTATAAAAAAAAATATTTTCTAAAGGATCTTTGAATATTTGATAGACGTCTGTAAATACCTCTATTGAATTCTGCACTATTTTTTACCTATATTTCCAAGTTAGAATCGAAATTGGACGAAGTTAGACCCGAATGATGAAATATGAATTTTTATCACTACTGTGCCCTCAGTAAAAATAATTTTTCTCTATGAAAAAAGAAAATTTCTCAAAACCCATACTTGCATTTTTTCCCCTTGACTTGACGGTTCGAATGATATAAGAAAGTTGGAGAAATGTTTTAAAACAAAAGACTAGAAAGGTTTGTCAGAATCACATGTTATTGGTCATATATGATGAAATTTGACCTACCGAATCAGTCCTTCTGAGAAAGATATGAACGATGAAATATTCTTAAACCTATACAGTTTTACTCAGATTTTTATGCTGAATCCGAATAACCTGATTTCGAACACTTATAACTGTTATCAATTAGTCAAATTTCGAAATTTCATAAAAAGATGATTAATAGATTATGTTTATAGGCTATTTTTGTATTTCGAAAATTTTTCAGCCAAAGTGCGACCAAAAAATATTTTAAAGGTGATATTCGTGATCAGCTCGACGAGCTCTATCCATCCATGTAAAAAAATAAAGAAAAGAAAAATTTTGCTCATGTTTTGACTTGGGAGCACCTTAGTAACGCGCACTGAACAGTCTGATTTATGAACTAAAGACTGAAAGATTGAAGTCTGTTAAACATACCTTCTGGTGGAAGACTATCATCATGTGGAGCAGACATGGTTTCGATATTTCTTTTCGAAGATAAATTGTCACTGAGAATAATTCTTCGTTCGATTGCGCTATTCTTTGTTCATATAGTTCTTTGTTGTTTCCGCTCTTTATCTATTTATTCGCCAATGAAATTCGTCAGCGCAACTATCAATGACCAGATGAAACGAATAGATGAAATTAATTGAAAGGTTNCAGGGGGGGCAGCTAAAAAATTGATCTTTTTTTCGCAAACATCAATCACAAAAATTTTTTCACAAAAAGTGACCATTTGGTCTCCTTATCATCTTCCATAAGTTTCATCTTGGTCCCATGTTCTAAAGCTGAAATATACCATACTCAAAAACCCCCGGCCGGCCAATGGGTCCGGTTGGACTCCAGGTGGGGTAAAATGCGTATATATGTACTTTGAGGTAGTTTATCTCACAAACAACTAAAGCAGGTAAGGGAATCCTTTCTACAGTATACTCTACTACTCGTCACTAGAGCATATCTAGAGTGGTGTGATATGATCTGCGATCGTATATGTAGAACATTAAAATGAAACTAGGTGGGGTCCGCATGGACCCCAGCCGGACCCCATCGTATAACGTTAGTTTCTGCTTATTATTTGATTATAAGTTCATCATTCTCGTACTTTATACATCTGTCCACTCCTATGAGAGTGTTCTCTAGCTATTAAATAAACTGTAAAGCATGTCAATGGTCTCAAAACGTTATATTTTGTATATTTGAGAATCCTTACAACTCATCTGCTATCTTTGGAATAATTATGTCTCCGATATAAAATTCGGATATTTTCATGAGGAATACTTTTGCAAATTGACATTCTATATGCATAGTTTCTTTCTTTTTGCTATTGATATGGCGTCACGATATATACATATTATATGTATATCCTATTTCGTTCTGGGATCATATGTGGATACATACACCATATCTCTACTATGCTCAAGTACATGCGTTTTTTATTCTCGTTCTTTCGGTATAGATGACATGCTCTCTCTTGTATCTTCCAATGATCCCTTTCTCTTCTGTCATTTCGGGACGAACTCTTTCATTTTGTTCATACAAATTTATATAAACCCATGCATGGAAGTAGTGAAGTCAGTATACATTGCACTACGTACGACTATTATACGAAGACATGTTTTCGAAGAAACGCTTTGATTTCGATCAATCAAAACACTGGTCTGGTTGCAAAGAACTCAGGTGATGAATTTGATGCAAGTACTGTTGAAAGTGGAAGTGTCATTGATGATGAACCACATAGACACCGAGTAAAATGCCAGCCACAGGTTGAACCATCACCGATTTCAATATTTATAGCGAAACCCGGATGTTACTATATATCACAAGAAGCCCGCAAACGGAAAATACCATCAGCTAATATTTGACGGCAACAAAATGACATTGGAAGATCAGCTGCACATATAGAAGTTGTGAAAGAAGCATTTCAGATTCTAATAATTTAAGAAATGATTCTTCTTCTGGTGAAGGAATCCAATGGCGAGCGTATCTGATCTTGGAACGTTATAAGAAAATATTTTAGAAATACAAGATAAAATAATGAAATATAGTCTTTTTTGTAAGCTATCAAGTCCTTAAGAGGCAAAGGGTACACCATATAATGTTATCATAATATACTACTCAAAACATGTACTATATCTGACTTTTTTACTTGGGGTCCAAGCGGACCCCAGGTGGGTAATAAGTGGTAGTCTTACAGGTGGACGTTTGAGGGTTAATCGTAAACAAATGCGTTTAGTATGTTCATTAGATCAATTACAACTTGATTATAAAGTAATGAATCCAAATCAAGAAGTTATTAAAAGTATGGATGGAAATATTTCAATGAAAGCAGTTGTTCGTGGTATTGATTATAATGAAAAAATAATGAATTTTCTTATTGACGATGTATATGATACAAAAGATGATCACATAAGTGGGATGATTCGTATATCGCTTCCAACACAATATTTTCCACCATCATTTTCTTATTTTAATGAAAAAACAAGATTTCGTGTTAATACTGAATATTTCCTTTCAGTTGATGTACACGTTGATGGTATAAATACTAGTTTGAAAACTACCGTACCATTAACGATTGGATTTGAACCTGAACATATTACATTTAATGAGGTTATATCACCGGATTAACATCGATTATCAGTTACAAGTTTACACAAGAAACGTCATTCACGTTTACGTCATTTCAATCGTTTCAGTCATTCGTAACTGCTTTTTTTATTCTCTTAACGAACTTTATTTCATCTCTGCTTTATTCACCTATTTTCAATTCTACTGAATAAATTCTATTAAAAGAAAAAAAACTATCTCTTCTTTTTCTTTCATGAATAACAATTATCAAGAATTCGAGAATATAATATAAACATCTGTTTTGAGGGTGAGGGTTCGTCTTCATAGTTCAGTTGAAGCTGATGGTTCAGAGATGCATAATTCATTAACCCGTCGTTGTAAACATAACGACATTCTTATATTAGACAAAAAATTGTTATACTTTGTATTCTAAATTCTACTGTTACTTCAATCACGATAGGTATCTATATTTACATGAAAATCTATTCGAATTCAATCGATTTTTCTCATACAGATCTATAGCAAACTCTATTACTATTATTATAGAGTTACTTAGATGAATCTCAGTGTATGTTGTTATCTTATAAGTATCATGGTAAAACAAATATCTACTTGTTTTATCGAATAGTGAAAGATAAATTTACTTTTTCTATTCTGTGCTTTCTGTTTCGAGAGAAAAGTTCTTTCTTCCTATATATTATATCTGTAACATGTGTTTTTTACCCAAAGCAAATGATAGTCATGGTAAAAATCAAACGATGAACAACTTGTGCATGGAAAGAGTATTCTAGAATAAACCATATGGATTGTCACATTTAATTTTGACATTTATTCACAAATTATTCAATACTCTCTTTTAACTTTGTTCGATCTGACGATCGAGATATTGAATACTATTGCTGTGATTCAAAACACACTACACATTACATACGAAGAGTTATATAGCGATTTTCTGAAAATTATTATGTATTTTGAATATCAAATGAATTTTTTAAAGTGCCTCTAAGAGTGATAGAAGTTTTAATATGTCCGTTTGAGAATATTGTCTATAGATGCGGTACGAAAAATCGCTATAACGCATCAAATCACACATTACGATAAATATTCTTTGATTCTTTTAATATTTTAGATATTTTTATTGAATAAATGATGAAATATTTTAGTTAAAGTCTGTATGATGGAATTGTTAGTGTAGCTAACGCTTGAGAGTCTTGACTATTTAAATCATCGATAACATTCATTCGTATTTGATAATAATCAGGTATTGTTGACAAATACGGACGGATTTGAGAATGTGTATTTACAACTGTTTTTCCTAGAATATAGTACTGTAAACTATTTGGGAGTTTAGTTGTTTCTAAAAAATAACAGCAAACAATTCTTTGATTCACATCATAAACTGACCATTGATAAAATTTCACTAAAAAAGGATTGTTTTGGATAAAATGGAGTAGGATGAAAATACTCGTCTGCATTGACGTGATATGATCCAACATCAAATGCATCTCTACGAAAGCAAGTGATAGTTGTTGGCCATAAATTGCCCAAAGAGTTTTTTATTTGTTTTAATTTACATATAATACGTTCAACATTTCCATGATCTTCAATGGTTTGTTCATTATAAGTCGTAGACTTTGAAAGTTCAGTCAAATATTCTGCGCCAACATCAAAGATTAATACTATACTTTGTAATAATTCCACAGAGAATGTTTGAAATTTCTGTTTCCATTCTTTACATGCTTCATCCATAATACGTGAAAGGAATTCGACATGAACTGTGGATGACATAACGAATTTGTTTTAGCAATACTAATATACCTAAAATGAAACTTTTGTAATATACTGGTTCAACGTAATTTTCATCTTCGAAGAGTTCTGAACAGAACAAACAATATGGTTATCAAGATGGTGATGGCACAGAGAGAAAAACAAATTATAATCGCAAAACACTTTCTACGACTAGGAAAGAAGAAAACCAACCATAGATAACAGATGGAATTAGCGCTACAGAGTGGCATCTGTTGAAATTCTTTATCTCAAAACAATAATTCTTTGTATATGGGTATGAATTAGGATAGAACATAGTGAAAGTGGGTGTATGTACTTGTTTCATTCACATCCCTCATAAAACATCATTTAATGAAATTATCATGATGGTCTATGTCAAATTAGTTGTACTGTTCTATTCACCACTTACTCAACATCTACAATCAATTTTTGTTGATGATATGCCTATACTTATCCTTTCTATTGATCATTTGTAAATCTCCTCTTTTCTACCTCAGTTTTTATTGGAATTTTAAGCAATATTTAATTGATAGTATCTCACACGACATTTTATACTAGTGTATCGATTGCTTAGCAAGTTTTATAGCAGATGACTATATATTATTTCGAAATTGGAATTTATCACTTTTTGATGTACTGTCAAAGAGGTTAAAATGTTCTTCGTTCTCTTATCTATTAACAGATGTAGTTCGAACTAGTGACCTTTATATAAACCGAGCTATACAGAAAAGAAAATGAAACTGTTTCTATACTAAGCTTAATGAGGGCAAGTGCCGGTTTTGGTAATCAACCATTTACGAAAAAACCGTTTCCAAGGATATGAGTATATGTCAGTTGACTATTATTCTTAAACCATTTCTTTTTTGCACTACCAGATCTGTAGAGTTCATATTCACTCAGACGTGATGTTATCTAAAATAATAAGAGTAGACCAGACTGAAATTCAAGATATGTAAATGTTTCCATTTGTGGAAGAGTGGATTAATAAGAAATCCGAACTATCGAACAGATGTTTTACTGGAATTGTACTTAGTTAAAAAAAGGAAGATTTGACTTGTGGAAACACATGAATTAAGAGTAAAAACTTCTACTTTGAAGAGAGATTTTCCGGTAAGATAATCTATTTTATTCTTGTTGATTTTTTCTATTGATATGACGATTATATTTTTTTCAAAATCAAATAAATAAGATTTGTTCGAAGATTTAAAAATTCCTGGAATCTTTTTCGTACTTCTTGATCATAGCAATTCCAAAATTGATTTGCTATTTGTTCAATATCTTGATCTGATCTATTATTCAGTAATAGAGTTTGTCGAAGAATTACATCTGACCAACTACGAACATAAGATGTTAATTGTTTATCTTGCCATTGTTTAATGAAAGGTATTGCTACGGAACCAAATTCTGATTTCATTCGTTTGAAATTATAACGAGCAAATAATTCATCATTGATACATTCCGAATAGTTTCGCGCATATATGGGCAAAGTATATTCAAGTAATTCTTGTGAAGTAAGAAGTGATTGAGCACATTGATAGAGAATTTCTCGAATGATATCAAAGCCATTAGAACCTTGATCATCGACAGCAGGAATGACAAGAGTCAATATACCTCCGATGATTAATTCACGTGAACGATGTTGAAGAAAGTGATTCCAATCAAGATGTGCTTGTTCTTGAAATGCTTGAAGTTCATCACCTTGTGCAAATAATGATGAACAATGATTTGAAAGATTACAAGGTTTTCGTGAAAGCCATAATGAAGTGACGTGGATGAATAACCAATCGAAAGAGAATTTGCTGGTAAACATGATTTGTAAAAAGATCGACCATTAGCCACACCATGATATGAATTATCTTTATTTAATAGATCAAATAATATAGTCCAATCATTGTTTGGAAGATCATTATGAACAACGAGAATATCTTCGTCATTAACTGTTTTTCGGTTTCTTTCAGACATTGAATAATCATCTTGATTGCATACAATGAATTACGTCCATGAGCCGATCCAAAATCAGCAATAATCATAGGCGTACAAGATGAAATATCGAGTACGTTAATCGCTTCACAAATGTATGGAATTGTTGAATCTACAGCTGCTAATTGTGGACGAGAGTTTTCATTATAATCGTCATTCATTACTGTTAATTTTGAATATCTCACGAATGACTCATTCTTCTTTAATAAAATAAAAACAATCTCGAATGATGAAAGACAAATAAAGATTAGTTGAAATAAATACAGAAGAAAAGAAAAAAACGACAACGTGGTTCGATTTTTTTCTTTTATATTCTGTATTTCATAACAAAAAAAAGCAATGTAACGTCGTTGTTAATGATCTCGCAAAGTTCTTTTGTTCTAACTCTACTGAATCGCCTTGTGTATATTTCACTTGATATCTGTAATATAACGATAGGACAACATTTTCTTTGTAATTGACTGGAGACGTGAATTGCGACTAAGAGAAGATCAAGATATTAGGTCATAAACGAATTTATTATCATAAAAAAAATCGATACAACGTACTGTGAAAGAGAAATGATCAGCCAACACAATGTTGAATATAATTCTGATTAGTCGTCTTTTACATAGTAATCTTTTAATCTTTCGCTAAAAACAACGAATTCGTTTCACTGATTACACCACCCTCAACATCAGTTATCATTTCAAAATCAACTTTTCTAATAAACGAAAATCTTTTAATTCAAAAACACACAAAAATACAATCAAAGAAAATTCAACAATAAATATGAAATTTTCTTAGCTAATTGTATTAGGATACCAATGAAATTGTAATTGATCAATCAATGCACCTGATCTTCCAGTAACATAACCAACGAAATATCCAGAAAGTTCTTCTGTATATAAAATACCTTTAAGATGATCGATTGATTCACTTGCTCGTCCATGTGTTGTAAATAATCTTATTCCTCGTACTAATGGAATTACTTTTTCAGCATCATTAACATACACCATTACATGATCAACAATAACTTGAATTTTATTAATTCTTTCATTTTTCTCAATAATAAATCGTTCAATAACGTCATCTGTTTCATATGTTCCTTGTAATTCTGATTCAATAATTATTTCTTTATCATTATCATTCGATGAAGAATAACAAAATTGACACCAATCTAAAGGATATTTTTTCAATCCACTAATCATTCCACGAAGATAATATGAAGAATTTAAATTATTTGTTATAAAATCATCAAAACTATGACCACCTGTCAATCCACCAAATTTCTCTCCACATTTCGTTATTGTTTGTAATTGAGATGATACTAAACAAATCTTATTTTCTGTTTGTTTTAATTCTTCATGTAAATGAATAATCGAAAGACGATCTTCAAAATTCATTGGTTGATAACGAAAATTTAATCGCACTATTCTTACTGATTATTAGTGTCGTTAAGAATTGGTCAATGTCATATTTTACGTTTTTCTATCCCAAAGCCACCTTTAGGATACACTGGATCCGTCGTAGGTCGCCTAATCATACAGATTTGATTCTCATCTCATCAGAAAGTGATTCCGGTGTCAAATTCAAATATTCCGACTATGGATTTTTTTTTCTCAAGTCGATCGAAAGAGTTCTGAAGTATTATGTCGTGTTCTAGCTCACTCCGTTGTATGTAGTTGTTAGGAAACTATGATGGATGAATTTGATTGATGTTCAATTGTCGTCTATAGGAACCAAGAAAAAAGATCTTGAGTCAAAACTGGTTGTCAAAGTCATTTTGTCAGTCAATTCTTCCCATTAATCTCAAAAAGATATAAAAACTAGGATTTTCACGTAAAACATGCATTGTTCTCTCATTGACAGAGGCATCCGACACAGTCTTATCTATACGCCATGGTGGTAATATTTCGTGAGAAAAACTCTTTCATATGGTCCTATTTGCCGAGGTACGGATCCAGAACGGATGATGTAGCTCGATGTCACTTGAAAATCAATCAGGTTTCATTGTGAGCAACATTAGCGTGTGACCGAGTAAAGTTTCCTCTACAAAGTCAATCGAACAGTGAAAAATGCTTTCCAAGTCATTGAATATTCTACATGAAAATGCAATAAAGTTACCTTGCAACCATCGCCGAATAGAATCAGCACCATATGCGTTGATCTCAGCGACACCTTTTGAAGTCAGAACTTCGCCGGACGATGACAGGACAATCAAACATGGTATTCTTTTCACGTTGAATTTCTTGACGAGTGCTTGCTTGCGAGTTCGATCTGCCAACAAAACGCATATAAACAATTTTTCTCGGTTTAAAAGAAATAAAATTATACTAGAGTAGCTAGAACCTCATATTGCCTCTGACTCTCAGAGACTAGAGAACTGGTATCTTTTTAAATAGTATGCTCTTTTCTCTTTGCCTAGCACTTTTGCAATTATGTTATAGGAGTAAAATGGGACTCGGTCGTTTTACCACGCCTTAGAGAGGAGGAACACGAAAAAATAGAATTGGCTAATATCGTGATAACAGCTATGTACTGAAGGTACTGCTTAAATACACGAAGTCAGTAGAAGCCGCATCTTCGCTTTTTACCGAAGAAAGATTAGCCTACCTGAGAATGGCAATGCTTTCCACGGCATTTCTTGGAAATAGTGGTCAAAAGCGTTTTGGTCGTTATCTGAGGACACCAACACAATGTCAAATTTGTCTTGCATACTGTGGTCAATGCTCTTATACGCTTCAACCAACTTCGGCGTGAAATCACGAGAGGGTGGACACCAATGACCACTGAAAGAGGAGTTTATCGACTAATATAATAAGAGTAAACTTACGAGAAATAAAGACCGATTATCTTGTAACCAAGTTCACTTGTGGCTATGTACTTGCTGGTCCCGGTACTTCCATGAGTGTCATGCTGGAGTAATTGCTCACCGAGCAGCTCGGTTAATACTGATGTTGTCGCGACGTAATCATCTGTGGTTGAGAAAATGAGAACATTCGTGAATTAAAAACAAAAGATAACAAACTTCCAAACATGTTTCAACAACTCAGTAAGTTTTCTACTATTAACCACTTTCACAAAATAATGAAACGTCATGACAACAGAGTAAGGATTTATGCTCGAAATTCTAGTAACAGACGAGAAATTTAAGGTGTTTTTACACTACACATATTTTTACTACTATTTCTTTCTCTTCGAAGATAGGTATGAGTTTTTTTTGAAAGCGTTCAATACCTACTTTACCTATAGGATCGATCGTAGCTACAGTACTTATTTTACAACAATTATTTATACTGAAACATACCTTCATCGTAGCCTGGTACTAGAACTTTACAATATTCCGAGAGATTTTTGCAGCTATAATGAACAAGGATATAGAAATTGCACAATAGAGAAAAATTCTAGATACCCATTGACGAATTCCGTTTTCGTTATTTTTCCGACTCGTCGTACGTCGCATGATTGCATAATTTGTTTGGTTAAATTTTTCGCATCTTGAATTTCCAACGAATTATCAGTAAGCGCACTTGTGGCGATAATCATTTGAACTATTTCTTTTTTGTCGATTGTTCCAGACTTGTCGCAATCAAATATGTCAAAAACCTGCACAAAAGAATATTTTTTAAAAAAGGGTTAAGCAAGAACAAATTTATGATCGTACAAGACCAAGACTATCTTCCAAATCATTTGATGAATAAATTTGCATGGCGAATACGAATTCAGTAAAACTTAACGTGCCATTATTGTCCCGATCAAACAACTTAAATGCATATCGGCAGTAATCACTTGCATTTCCTCTTCAATAAAGATAGAGGTAATAGATAGACAGTTTCATCATGCAACTGTTGCATGCTTGAACTTACTCAGAAAACACTTCCTGAAGAACATTGGCAAACATTGTTCGCGTCATTTTTCCATTGGGGCTAAAGTGAAAAGCTCATGTATTTATTCATTACTCGAGAAGTAGTATTAGAAACCGCATTGTAGGACAGCAACCTTGCAACCTTTGACTTACCAGATCTCCATGAATTTTGTATGAGCTGCTTTGATTTCTTCTTCAGTCATAGTTTTGATTTCGCACAAGATATAATCGATTTTCTGGCGCGTCAACGCTAAATAGAATATTATACAGTAAAAAAAAAGGATTAAAAGAACAGCACTAGCACGATCATCTTCAGATTATGAAATAAAAAAACGATGAAAGGAGAGAATGAGCTATTTTTACTCCTATGATATGTTAAGACCCGTTTTCAATCTTTTTCACAATCTAAAAGCCTAACTACATTATCAAATAATCGAATTCTCACTCCAAGGCCGTAGATATAACTTTGTGAAAATGATCAAAGTAACTGTACTATGGAGATATTGCGTGACACGAATGAAAACCTGACTCAAAATAGAGTTCTCTTTTCAGTAGTTTTAGGTTTATTGTTGCATGAGGAAGCAATCAGAATTGGGAAGCGGACTATTTTTACCTCTTGTTCTGATTAGAGATAAGACCGTGACAGTATCAGTTCAAACAAAATGGAGCTGTCACAAACCTAACGAGAGACCCTAATTAATTATCTTACCACAATCTTCTTCGGTTATTTTGATCGATTCCAGCTTTTGTAAAACTTCATTTGCCATTATTCGAGGTTCAGTCAGCATGAATGCTCTATCTTGATCTGCCCATTGATGTCCTATGGACGTCGCGGAAAACTGCTGAGACCATCCTCCTGTAGAAATTACAGTGCTTTCCGTTTTCTGATATCGACGAACAGATGACGTCGTGATGCTTTGCATTCGCACTGTTTGAGTGCTACCTGTTTGACGTACTACGGTACTACCTGAACTGGAAAAGCTGCGAATCATTCTCCGATTCTAGAATATCTCTCTTCTGAAATGTATCAAAATGTGCAAGTGCAATAAAGGCCATTAATGAGAACTCTTCAACCCTTGACCACACTAACGAAAACTATTGTTTGGCGTCAAACAAAAAGAATGAAGTTACGAATGACTTTTCATAAGCCACCGCTAGTTCATACGACAAAACTAGAAAAGGGTGTGAGAATTTCTTAACACTCGACGAATAATTACGGATGGAGAGGACTGGTGTGTGTCGAGAACATCATTGCTGTAGATTTAGAACGCAAATTCTATTCACTTTACAGCGAGTATCTTCGCTGGTTAACTATCATAAGTAAAGACGGAGATCTAGTAATAGTGGAGTGCGTGGATCTTTGTTTTTCTGCTGACAATCGATCTTGCTCTCTATTTATCGTCGACGAATTCATGTTCTCTCCCAACATGGTTGTTTTTACCTGAATTAACAAATTACAATATTTTCAGCACATAGACCGTACACTGAAAAAAATAAGGGTTTATGAATTTGCAACGTATAATAAACCTTTTCTTTCGTTTATCAACTAGCTGATAAACGAATAAAAGGTTTATGCCTTAGTCAAATACGGTTTAAAAAGGGTTTATTATACGTTGCAAATTTATAAACCCTTCTTCCGTTTATTAGGGTGTCATAAACGGTTTTACCGTTTATCAATCTTCGAAATTTTGTTTTCAGTATATATTTCGTCGACGTTGACGTTATCATATGTTTTACAATCTTTTATGTTCTTCTTGTTCTTTGCTTTTTTCTGGGTTTTCTCTCACAACAATATTATCATATACAAAATCATTGGGTTTCACCCCACTTGCTGACACCTGAGCGAAGTGATACCTCATGATTTTTTGATTGAATGGAGAATTTTCTCTGCATCTTGTGATAGTGACAAAATACTGCCTATTTGCTAAGGGTGAGGGTGTGGGGGTGGGGGTGGGTGAGGGTGATAGTGTGGGTGAGGGTGATAGTGTGGGTGAGGGTGATAGTGTGGGTGAGGGTGATAGTGTGGGTGAGGGTGATAGTGTGGGTGAGGGTGATAGTGTGGGTGAGGGTGAGGATGTGGATGATGGAGATAGTGTGGGTGAGGGTGAGGGTGTGAATTAAGATAGTGAAGTTGATTTCTGATTTCTGCTATTATATAAAATGTAGGTATGNCCCCCCCTGTACAAGCTAGTGAATCAATGGTATAGTCAACTATTTTATACCAGATTCTAGAGCCCATCAAAAACTGCATCTAAGGGTGCAATTAGATCTACCAGTAGCCAGGCATTTATAAAAGTATCGTGAATCATATAGCAAAATCGCGTAAATTATATAATGTCGAATCAGAGAAAGAACTACTGTACCGCTCACCGATTTGAATTGTGTGTCATACGACAGCTAGTTTATTCATAATATGAGTTCCTTACAAATAAATGCTTATGACAAAGTTCAAAAATCAGTATGACCTCCTCCAGCAGCTTTGAAAACATCAAATATTTTCTTCATTGAACATAATAAATCCACAAAAAGATCTGTGTTGTTTTCGAGATCTATGAGTGTATTCTCTACGTTAGCTCTGAGAATATCATAATTGTATCTGTTTGGACGATCTTCATTTGCCATTAATTCTTCAACTTTTTCCTTAATAATTGCACCAATGTTTTCTGTCAGGTTCATATCAGGACTGTTGTCAGGCCAAATCGAATTCCCCCAGAACTGGAGTCCTTCATCTTCTAAAAGATGCTGTGTTGCATTGGCCTTCATACATGGGGCCTTATCATGAAGAAATAAGACTTCGTCTGTGTCAAGCACATTGTTTGGGTTGCGCAGAAATGGAAACACATGTTGCTGAAGAATAATCTCGCGAAAGTAGGCGCCATCCCAAAATTGTTCCTCTTCCTTCAGAACCCAAAGAATTTTCTTTGCGGTAAACATAATAAAAATTCCGATGCATCGTGTATCTTGAACCATTGCACGGCACCTTTCATCGTCGTTGGTGTCTTCGATAGTTTTCGCCCAAATTCTATCATTTTGATGGTTTGGTTTTCTTACCGCATAAATAAAAAATTCATCCGAAGGTGCGACATGTAGGAAATCTTCTTCAATCCAATCAGCAACATAATTTGCGAGTCATTTGCAATCTTCAACATGTGTACTTATCCTCAATGGCTTTGCAATCACGTGCAAAAGTTTCAATCCTTGTTGATGGCGCCCACGATGAACAGTCATATGACTCGCTTTTTGTCTCGTTTTTTCCAAAATTGCTCTTGCAACATTTCGAGAGCCACTTCCCCTTACACCACTAGCAGAAAAATAATATTTTTGCTCTCCTAGGAGAGCACATGGGATCGCCCAGTTCCAAATTGTGTATAACACTCTTCGACTGTAGTGTTCCAATGTTGTCTTACCCAATCTTCACTACGGCGGAGCTTTTTAGAAATCCATTGACAGGTGATAAATGAGTTTCCTGTTGATTCAATCATTTCATCACGTATCTCGCAATATGTGATAGAGCGAGCTCTGTCTACAGATCGCTGCGCTTCTGAGTCATGTAGAAGACTAGCCATTCAGATACACTAAATTTATGCATCACAGGCTTGTTTTATTGTAGAAATAATTTACCTTCTATTGCTATCGAAGCAGTTATTTGTACGACTGACACACATACACACACACACACAATGAATGAGAAATAACGTAACTTGAATCAGTGCTCATTGTTATTCTCTTTTCTCTACATCCTTCTCTTATCTGTCCGTGCATCTCTGTGTATATAAACTGATTCTCACCCTTTTCTCTGTTCCTCCTTTACGCTGTTAGTCGTGGGTAGTCAATTCTTTTTTGATAAATAACAAACACGTGTTTTGCAGGAGTCGAACATAACAATTGCGAGCGACAATTGCCTCAAACAGATAGGATTCTGGTATGGCAGAATACAGATTTAATACCGTTTCAAATGACTTTCAACTACAATTAATCAATAAGTCATTTGAATGAGGAAAAGTGACATATTAGTTCTTTCTCTGATTCGAGATTGTATAATTTACGTGATTTTGCTATATGATTCACGATACTTTTATAAATGCCTGGCTACTGTTAAATCTAATTACACTCTTAGATGCAGTTTTTGATGGGCTCTAGAATCTGGTATAAAATAGTTGACTATACCATTGATTCATTAGGTTGTAAAGAGGGGGCGTAAAGATTATGTTACACCCTGTATATGTTGTTGACATCAAAAGTGAAGAGAATTTTAGGTTAATAGGTGTTTATGCACTTGATAGTAAATCTTGGTCATGAGATGATCTGACAATATTTATAACTCAAAAATGTGTTGTTTATGGTGATTTTAATGTTGATATTATTCAGGATACGAAGAAAATTGAATCACTTCCAGAATGAAGTGATTCGGCATGCAACAATCCCGATTCGATTCGATTCCGATTCTAGAATCGAGTGGGATTGGTTGGAATTGGAATTGGAATCGAATGGAATCGGTTGGAATTGGAATTGGAATCGAATGGAATCGGTCGGGATTGGGATTGGAATCGAATGGAATTGGTTGGGATTGGGATTGGAATCGAATGGAATTGGTCGGGATTGGGATTGGAATCGAATGGAATCGACCCAGAATTGGTGGGAATCGAATAGAATTGTGTCAGAATTTACTGAAACCAACTGAGTACGGCTATGATTTCAACATAATTACGACTCTTTTATGTGAAACTGTCTCGAAAGATCTATAAATCGCATGGATTTATATGTGCTGAAATGAAACAGTTTTAAACTAGTACTAAATTGATACGAATCGATCAAATCTAGAGAGAATTTATGTAAATCTAGAAGAATTCGAGTAAATCTTCTTTTCAATGACTCAAAACTCATACAAAGCTGAATCTTAAATGGTGATTTCTGATCAGTAAACTACTCAAACTTAAAGTAAATATCAAATAAAGATAAGGATTAACAAAATTCATTTGTACTATCATCTTGCACAGTGAGCACATGCCAGTTTTCGTTATTTGGGAATTAGGATGATTTCTAGGTATCGCAACGATCACTTAATATTTTGTCTAATTTGAACGGACGATTAGATGTACGTAACTACAGCTTTCCACTGTTTTGTGTTAAGTAGTTGAAAGTTTCAAGTGTTGAAACAACTAGTTCATAGTTTAGTTAAATATAGTACAGAATGACGCACAGATCGGGTATCTTTCTTTTTCAAAATAAAGAACATGAGGCAAACGCTTGGATTTCAGTTTTAATGTATCATAGTTGAAGTCAGAATTGTAATAATATTTGATTGTGTTGTCGAATATGACAGCAACTAAAGAACATATACGTATGTGAGTTTTTTTATAATTTTTTTTTGTAATAAAGAATGTATGAGCAAAATACATAATAAAAATATCGTACCACTGAAGATTATTGTGTTGAAACTCATTCATTGTCACTGCGGAGAATTGAACTTGTATGCTTATCCGAAATAAGTGACAGATAACAGCGCACTCTTATAAATATCTGATTGGTGCAAAGCTCTCCACTATACATACATGTGTCATATGTAGAACAGAACAGGAAAGAAAAATGACCGTTGACATATGTCATTCATCCAACGGTACAACTAAACCGTATTGAACTAATAAGTTCAATCTTATGTTCAATAAGTTAATGAGACGCGAAGTCTGTCTATCTCATAATATACAATCTGGATAATTCATGAAGAGATCGTTCTCAGAGAATACAGATGATCAGCATAATGATTTCGAGTGTTTTTTGATAAAAAACGATCACATAAGCAGAAGTGATTATTCTTTATTTTTAGAGATATTTTCTCGATAGTCATATCATTACACAGTTATTGAATGGCTCATAAACGACGTTCTCTCTCGTCACGAAGTATTCCAACTCCTGCTACAACTACTGCAATTCTTCCATCATTTGATGATGATTTCGATGAAGATCAAGCTGAAAGCGAAAACATATCAAGTGTATTACCTGAAGCAATGGACGACGGTTCGAACTCAAATATTACTACCGCAGTAGTTCCAGAAGACCGTAGTATTAATACAGCAAATAAAAGTGACGATACAAATCTGCGGTCCAATGTTTGGGCTTATGCGAAAAAGATTTCCAAGGAAAAAGCTTTATGCGCGTGCAAAATTTACATAAAAACGCCAAATGGCTCTACTTCAACACTGCGAAAACATCTGATACAAAAACATAATTTAATTCATTTACAGCCACCATCGAATCCACGTACTCGTACAAATAGTTCAATCTCGCGCGATAAAAAGAATCGCCTTGATCATTTGGCTTACATGGCAATTTTCGAAGATGGAAGAACATTTGGTGACTTACGAAAAAATGGAATGTCAAAATTTTTGAACGAAGCCGTGTCAGGTAATCATTTTTTTATAAGTGCCATTTATGTATATTATAAATATTATTTTCTCTTCGTTCATAACTCCACAGGTTTAGTCATGTTCGGTATTTCATGTTCACGCATTGTTCTCATGATTTTCCTGGTGCTTTTTTTCTCGCAAACTGGAATAGGATACACTCTTTTTAGCACACTAATAAATGAATAAAATCGCTTCATCCTTGATGTGAACTATATTGAAAAGTGCTACCAGTATTTCGACTGTTATTAGCATAACTGCATCGTATGTCTACGTTACCAATCTGATGTCCAGAAATAGTTTCTTCGCTTTGTAGCAAAATCACATTCGCTAATGTATTGCTACGAATTAAATACTGATCGATCTTTCAAAATTTTTATTCTTCTTCGCAAAACTCGCGTGAAATTCTATGGCATAATTCGACCAAAGCTGACGATAATCCGTTCCTAGAACTTCGTTGAATACTCATTAGTCTTATGACAGTACTGAATGGAAGTTGAGATATGAGTTTGTTTTTTACATGAAAAAAGTTTTCCCATGATTCAGTAGATTGCTTTTTTCATTGAGAGCGACTTGAATCATAGTCATTTGATTTTCGATATTGGGTGCGCAGTAATACGTCGCATATTTGAATTACAAAATGGTACCCATCTCATCTCATCTCATCTCATCTCATCTCATCTCATCTCATTGGTATTTTCAAACGCACACGAAGCTTTTTCGACTCTTCAGCTTTCTTATTCGTATTTCATAATAGGGTCAAACTTCAACCAAGTCAATCAGCAGACGAGTTTTTCTTAGTTTTTTTTCTTGTATGGTTTTTTTTTCATGCAAAATATAATTGCCATGCTTGACGATCATGAATTAACTAATCATGATGACGGAAGTACAAGTAAAACAGTACTCGGACATTGACGATCATATGAGTTCAACTTTTGAACTTCAACAGATAATTTTTCGAAAAGACAGCTGGATTTTTCTGAAGAAGTTTTTGCCGTAGTCGTATTTCGAATAATGTTGAATATATATACATGACTTTTTGTATTTCCTTATCGATAATCGATAGAAAATGTTCAACATAGAGTCGTTGCGCAGAACTTTGCTTTTATACCAGGCATTCAGATTGTTCAATAGTCGCCAAAATGCAACACTTAAAAAAAAGGTTTTATTATCCTTTATTTAGGCTATGTTCCACCTCACAGAAATCAAGTTCAACGTAAATTGAAAGAAACGAACTCTAAATGCTATGTCTCTGAGGAGTTGTCAAAATAACATTTGATTGGAAACGGATTCCTAATAAAGCCGAAAGAATTTTTTTAGAAAATGCAAATGATGAAGCACATGATGACGACGATGATGAAGAAAATCGAGATTTAGTCACGGACTCATGGGATCAAGAAGTGAATACCGGTGATAACAGCGACATGAGTACCGACGTTAATGATGAAGACAGGCATGTTGCTATAATTAAAATGAAATTAGCTGCGGCAATTCAAAAAGGTCGTTCTTTAATTAAACTAGTCAAGCGCTCGCAAATCATCACAATGTTTATTGATAACGAAAAGAAATTGGCTAAGATAAAGCGTCGCTTATATATCGACTGTATGACTCGTTGGAATTCGACTCTTGTAGCATTACAATCTTTAGTGGATCATAAACCAGTTTTAATTAGTTTATTTGAAACAAAGGACAACTACCACTTACTTCCAAGCAAAAAGAAAAACTGGGTTTATTGGAATTATCGAGCGATGACTACACGATCTTTAACATATTGATTGAAATTTTGCAACCTTTTTATCATGCCACAAATTTGCTTAGTGCTTCAAAATATCCGACAATTGGTTTATGTCTTCTCGTCATACGCGAACTGAAAGAACACCTCGAAAAAGAAGAAAACAATGATTCAAACTTATTGATCAGCTTGAAAAATTTCATTTTTGAATCGTTCGATAACTATTTTGCTGAAAATGGCAATCAACATCTTCCCCTAACAGTAAGTTGATCTGAATAACAAGTAGAATCAGAATAAATGTCCATTCCCTCATTCTTATAATTTGAATTTTTGAAAGTTTATGCATCAACATTGATGACACTATTTGAGAGAGGACATGGCGAAAAGACGACAAAAGTCTAGAGTGGAAGTGTAACAATATCATATTGTTCTAGAGTATCAACACTGTTGACATTATTGCATTCTTAGTTGAAAAGAGTCATTTATGTGTTTGTTTCGAATTTAATAGAATTAACTGTTAAAATAAAGCAGGAGATAAAAGTTCTGTAGAAAACTTAATTCACACCGGTGAGGATAGTTCTACATTACGATAAGAATAGAAACCTTTTATTCTATTGTTCTCATGTTTATTTCCCTACTAAAACTATTGTGTAACGCGTACGAATAAATGACGATACTCTACCTGCTTGAGCTGTCTCATTTTAATATTTGTTTTCTTTTATTTAGCTTTATAGATATTTCGATCCATTATGTTATCGCGTGCTGAGTACAAAAGAACGAATGACAGTCGAACGACATTTGAAACAAAAAAATCGAGATCAAACCAATTCTCAACCAACAACAACGATGTCATCGTCCACATCGACCTCTTCATCATCTACAAATGAAAATTCTTCGATACGAAAACCAGACCTTTTGCAAATATTTCTCAAGTCTGTCGGTAAACATGCTCCAACCAGAAGTGTCTTTCCTAAAACGTTATCGGAAGAATTTACTAACTATGCACATTTTTGTAAAAATGAAAAGGCTGAAGAAGCTGTTTCGTTTTGGAGAAAACATGGAGAGCAAATGCCGTTGTTGAAAGCTTTGGCACAACAATATTTAGCAACTCCTGGTACCAGTGTTCCATCAGAATCGGCTTTTAGTACTTCAGCATACGTAGGACGAAAAGAGCGAGCTCGACTCAGTCCAGAAAACCTCAGTTATACAGTATTTTTGAAAGACAAGTTACAATCAAGTTAAACATGTATTCGTCAGTGTATTTTCATCACGTGTCAAACCATTTATCTTCGAATTATTATTTAACTGTTTTATTCACTCAGTGATTTTATTTTGCACGTAATTATTTATTTATTCACCTGGTTATGCATTGTCACTTTAGTCAATTACTTATTGAGTCATCTTCATACTGTGAAAAGATTTAATCGCATATTTATCTATGTACATTATTTTAACCGTTATCAAAATGATTATTATGATATTCTCGTACTTATCCAAAGCGTATTATCGCATCCTATATTTATTGTTGCAATTAACTTTTTTCTCACTGTCCTTTCTTCTTTACACTACAAACTGATTTGGTCAAATGTGTGCTTGCGTGCAATTTATGATTCATATTCTCTTGGTTTTACGCAACACGATACGGTTTATTTTAATAATAGTTGGTGTTACCTTTTTGACTGTTATCTGTATATAGTGCATATTGTATAAAAACTCAAAAATAAATGTTATCACAAATTGACCACTTAAATAGGTAAGAACAAAGTCTTCTGTTATGGGTGATCTTATGTTGAGCATAAATCTAATTAACAATGGATTTGGATATGTATTTATCGCTAAATCGAGGACCAAATTAAAAATATTGTCTCATATTCTTTCCAGTAAATTGATCGATGTTACTTCTCTCTGACATATGAATGTACTAATATAGGTTGTTTTTAATTCAATGGATTTTATTTCCTCTTTGCTGGAATAGATTGTATCATTCTATTTGAATCACTGAGATTCAAGCCATAACTATATATTCTATGCATGAACTAGAGCACATTCCAAAAGATATATCTTATTTAATACAATAGTTCTCATGCTGTAATCATCAATATCAACAAATGGCATGGTAAACTATAAACAACATATAGAACTGCTTTTCTTGGTGCACAGTAACAAGGTCAATCGTGATTAAACGTCGAGGTCGTGGATTACTCTCCATGTGATATATGTAAATGATTTTTTCTAATCATCCTGATCTGATCAGTCTTGTGATCGGTATACCTCAACAACGTAAATATGTTATTTGAATAGACATGACATAATCGACTTTTATTTTGTACTCACGCAGCTAATCGATGAATCTGCCTACCGCCACTCATACATTTACATAGAAGAATGGCTGATAATACTAGAATGGTGTGTTCCAAATTATTGAGTGATCGTTGAGATACCTAGAAATCATCCTAATTCCTAAATAACGAAAATTGGCATGTGCTCACTGTGCAAGATGATAGTACAAATGAATTGTGTTAATCCTTATCTTTATTTGATATTTACTTTAAATTTGAGTAGTTTACTGATCAGAAATCACCATTTAAGATTCAGCTTTGTATGAGTTTTGAGTCATTGAAAAGAAGATTTACATAAATTCTGTCTAGATTTGATCGATTCGTATAAATTTAGTAATAGTTTAAAACTGTTTCATTTCAGTACATATAAATCCATGCGATTTATAGATCTTTCGAGACAGTTTCACATAAAAGAGTCGTAATTATGTTGAAATCATAGCTGTACTCAGTCGATTTCAGTAAATTCTGACACAATTCTATTCGATTCCCATCAATTCCACTCGATTTCAATCCCAATCCCACTCGATTCTAGAATCGAAATCGAATCGGGATTGTTGCATGCTTATTTATAACGCTATAATCCTTTGTTTCAGAAAATTGAAAGGAATTTCATGACTTCTATTTTTTACATCGATTAAAGATAATTGTGAAAATCAATACCAAACGCTCCTTTAAATAATATTGGATCGCAATAATCAGACGATGTTATATCATCAAAGTTGACTCGATGATACTTATTCAAAACCTAGACATTTCCTAGACACCAAAATACGAAACTCCCTAAGAAGGAAGCCGCTGCTCCCAATAAAATGTAAGTACCGCAACCTGGAAAAAGTGCATAAGATTATGTAAAGCAGTAATTACATTAAACCTGACCTCCAGACGTCTTTTCCTTTACTTGTTCATCGATCATTTGATCACCCTCCCAAGTTTATGTGGTTACTAAATATTTAGTACGATTAAATCCACAGCAAGGCGCAATTATACAAAGAACAATCCATCCAAGATCGACGAGTCCACCGTAGAATAAATATGTCTCTATTTTTGTTTCAATAGGACAATATTCATCGAACCTTTGCTTGTGTACCACAAGTTTAGATATTGCTAAACCAATATAAATAATTGCTATTATCACAGTTGCAATTAATGAAAACATGTTTAGTGTTTAGAATCTTTCATTGAGCAATTCATTTGATATTTGTTGTGGTATAAACTCACTTAATTATGTAATATTCTTCCTTGCAGCGATACTAGGAAGAAAAGTCAAAATACAAAATTTCATAAGTTTATCTCTATGCAAGAAACCCACAGATTTCAATCAGAGTGTTGATGTCAGTGCGAATATGAAAGTCTGATTAACTCGGACAAACTATGATAATACTCTCAATGGCTACCTAACAATGTTCGTAGAACTTTAAACAAATCTTTGTTTATCTTTAAAGATTTTGTACTGTACGATTTATTTGATTGTTATGTAGATAAATATTCGTTCAAATGCAAATAGGTAAAAATGTGCGGTTAGTTTAGTTTTGTCGTCTCATTATATGTTTTCGTAAAATCTTGTCTAATCGTTGTCCATATAAGCAGGTTCTATTGTAAAGTTACGAAAATAGTTTGTTGTAGAATGCTTTGTTCAATGCCTGTATCCCTTCAGGATCTGCTCTTTGGTAATTCAATTCATAGAGTATAGTAAGCTTCTGTTTGATTCCAAAAATAGAAGGTCACAAAATACATACATTTGAAAGAACTCTGATATCTTACCGTGTTTCTTCGCAAAGTGTCTTTAAGTGCTTGAATCCCCTCATCAACAATCAAGTTGCCGGAGAGATCGAGTTTAGTGAGTGTCTGTTTCGTAATTTACAACTAGAAAGTTGTAAGATACATTCAAATGAATGCTGTTATCTCACCGTGTTCGTTTCTAGAGTTTCGCTCAATGCTTGAGCTCCGCTATCTGTTATAGAGTTTCCGGAGAGATCGAGAGTATTCAGTACCTATTCAGATATATATATATGAAGACAAAACCAGAATATACATTCACACAAATGTTTGTCTCACTGTATTTAATCTTAGACCTTTAGCTAATGCCTGAGCTCCGTGATCCGTTATTAAGTTTTGGGAGAGATTGAGAATCGTAAGTTTCTATTGAAATAAAGATCATAGTATATATCGAGATAGATGCTTTTAATGTACAACGTTTGTTCGTAAAACTTCACTCAACATTTGAGCTCCATCATCCGTTATTGAGTTTCTGGAAAGGCTCAAGGAACCAAGTTCCTATTTAAATAGATATATAAACAGAATCATAGTGTATGTTTGGCAAAATGTTCTTGTCTTACCGTATTTAATGAAAGCGCTTCTCTCAATGCCTGAACTCCGTTGTCGGCTACTGAGTTTCTGGAGAGATCAAGATCAAGAAGTGTCTATTTTAATTCAGATAAAGTTAAGACCATACTGTACATTTGAATGGATTCTTTTGTCTTATACCTTGTTAAATAAGAGAGCGTCACTCAATGATCGAATCCCGGTACTCGATATTGAGTTGTTAGAAAGGTTGAGAATAGCAAGTCCCTATGTAAATACATATGAAAACAGAATCATAGTACTCATATAAATAGATGATTTCGGTTCACTGTGTTCGATGTAAGAGCTTCACTCAACGTCTGAGCTCCGCTATTGGTTATTGAGTTTTTAGAGAGATCAAGAATAGCAAGTGCCTAGGTGAGAACAGAATTATTATAATGTGTAAACATCTAAGTGTTTTCGTCTCACTGTGTTTGTTTTTAAGACTATACTCAATCTTTCAACTCCTTTGTTACCTATTTGGTTATTGGAGAGATGGAGTACAGTGAGCGTCTGATAGCGCACACAAGAACATAGAATCAGATGACAGGTTTAGTTAAATATTTTTTCTCACTGTATTTGTTCGTAAAGCTTCGCACAATGAGTGAGCTCCGTCACCAGCTATTTTGTTATCGGAGAGATCAAGTTTCATAAGTGACTGTTCAAAGAAAGGAATGAAACATAAATAAAATAGATGTTAGCCTCTTAGCTACCGTTGATTACTCACCACGTTCTTACGAAGTGAAAGGGAAAGTGTTACGATACCATTGGATGTAAATTTGTTGTCTGATAAGATCAGGTCTGAACATTGTCTCTTGATAATACATTCACTGACTATGATGTCCATGTCTACATCTGTTAATCGCATTGATTTTAAATCAATTTCTGCATTTCTTGAATGGTAACTTGCCAGGTGCTCTTCTAACTTGCGATTTGGCAATGCAGCTGGAAGAGATTTTCTTGATAAGGAAACTGGTGAAACTGGTGAAAATTGAACATTACGAATCGAACATGCTGGTTCAATTTCATTTAACTCGATCACGCAAACTCCTTTTCCTCTTCCTTTGGAACTTACAACATTGAATCGACGAGCAGGAGGCAGCAACACCTCGTTGTCATTGTCGTGCATGGAATGTCGATGAATGTCTTTTCCCGAGTAGCATTTAACGAGAAACAACGTTTTTCTCCCAGCCCAGTTGAGATGAAGATGTTTGTCTATCTCATGATTCGTTCTTTTTACACAGGACGAAAATCCGCACCATGTGATAGTTTTCCCAACTACATATTTACTTGACAAATCCATGTTGGCACTTCGAAAAACAATAAGAGGAGTGGACGGCAAATGTAATAGAGCTGTTAGAAGAAGTCGCAAGAAAAGATGCCATGGTCTTAATTGCTGTCTATCGCCAGAACGAAGTGTTTTGTTCAGAAGATGTTGTACAGAGCTTCGTAAAGGTTGCCATTCGAATGTATATAATCGAATAGAATTTGATTCATCTCGGCTCAAACCATCCTTCAATTCGCCACAATTGGTGTTTATTATTTGAACCATGCGTTCGATTTCGGGTACAATTGAAGTGAGTGGGAGAATAGCTTGATGAAGAGAAACGAGTGGCGCGCTTTCATAATCTTCAATGGGTGAAATCATCTCGAGTGATTCTTCTTCAACTACATTTAAGAAACGCAATGTATTTTGCGATTCACTGATGTTTCTCGAAGTCATGTTATTTTTCGGTTGTGTTTGAAACAGTATGACTCACAACTCCTTGTTAATTCTTATCGTTAAAGATAAAAGAACGACAGTTTGTTTTAATACAAAGTTCTTCTTATCCCATACGTGAATATTAAATAACTGCGTTACTAGAACAGAAAAGGAAGACAAATGGGAGCAAAGCCATTAAAATTATACAAACCGGCGGATGAAAATCTCGAATCGTTATCACTCGTGTGGCTCGACGCTCATGTCGATACTTCACGAGAAAATATTCAGATACAAAACCAACTTCGTTCTATCATCAACTATATGAAGACATTTCAAGATGTTTTGGAATGTGAAAAATATATTCGATCAGTTCCCGACGATGATCGAATATTATTAATTGTAAGTGGAGGAATGGGTCAACAATTAGTACCTAGTATTCACAAACTGAGACAAATACTTTCGATCTATGTATTTTGTTTGGATAAATCAAAGCATGAAGGATGGTCACAGCAATATACGAAAGTAATTTTATTACTGTAAAATGATGAATTTTGATTAGAATCATTATTTAGATCAAAGGTTTGTTTACTAAAAGAGAAGATCTTGTTCGTGAAATAGAATCTGATCGTCAAAGACGGAAGAAAGGTGATGAACCAATCTTAATTTCAATTCAAGGAAAATCAACCAGTGAATTAAATGGTCAATTTGTTCATTCTCAAATACTGATTGATGTTCTACTTCGAATAAAACCAACTCGAGAAGATAAAGATGAACTCATATCACGTTGTTACAAAACGTACAAAGAAAATGACATTCAGTTAGCAGCTGTGAAGGAATTCGATGGAAAATACAAATCAAATCAAGCATTGTGGTGGTATTCAAGAGAATGTTTCGTCTATCGAATCTTGAATAGAGCATTTCGAACACAAGATATTGATATTCTCTATCTGTTTCGGTTTTTTATTCTTGATCTTCACAAACAACTCAATGAGCATCGATGTAAAACATCTATTCAGGTCTACAGGGCGCAACAAATGTCGAAAGATGAATTCGAAATGTTACGCAATTCCATTGGTCAATTTATTTCGATCAATTCTTTTCTTTCGACAAGTTTTGACCGTTTAGTTGCTTTACGATTTTTAAATGCAACACTGGATGCGGATCTTGAAAATGTCTTATTTGAAATAACTGCTGATCCCAATGTCGCGAGCAAACCTTTTGCCGATATTACTCAGATGAGTTGCCATCGGAATGAAAAAGAAGTGTTATTTATGGTTGGATCCATCTTTCAACTTGTTGGCATACGAAACGACGACGGTCAGACATGGATTATTCAAATGAGTCTCTGTTCGGATGATGATCATCACCTTCAAGTTATTTTTGAACATATGAGAAGTGAACACGGTGGTGGAGAGAAAAATCTTCTCTCTTTTGCGAATGTTCTCGCTGAAATGGGTCGATTTGATGAAGCAGAAAAATATTATCATCGTTTACTTGACCATCTTCCACTTGATGATCCTGATATTGGTCGTTGTTATCATGGTCTGGGTAATATTACGGATGCAAAAGGTGATTACGATACAAGTCTTCAGTGGCATCAAAAATCACTGCATATGAGAATGAAATTATTACGAACAGATCATCCTCATCTGGCTCCTAATTATATCAGTATTGGATGTGCTTATTTCAACAAAGAAGATTATCATCGGGCACTAGAATCATATTTTAAAGCATATGAAATTATTCAAAATGCTTTTGGCGAAGATCATCCTGATGTTGCAATGTGCTTAAATAATATTGGTTGTGTATATGAACGTGAAAAGGAATATGAAACAGCTTTAGAATATCATGATCGAGCTTTGAAGATTCGAGAAGATTTTCTACCTGAATATCATTTTGATATTGGTCAATCACATCATAATCTTGGCAATGTCTATCGCGCTTTAGGTTGTTATGATTTAGCATTGGAAAATTACTTACGAGCATTAACAATCAAAAACAAATCCTTACCTTATGAACATCATGATGTTGCTTTAACATTAGAAAATATTGGAAATGTTTATAAAGACAAAGAAGAATATGATCAAGCATTAGAGTACTATAAGAAGGCAGAGACTATCTATGATTGTTGTTTTCTACCTACTCATGCAAATGTTATACAAATCAAACAATATATACAATATCTTTCATAAACATTTGAATAGTGAGGGTGCGCATTAAATAGTCACACGCTCCAAAATGATGAGACATTGACGTTTTTATCAGAATGGAAATCCCATTCTCGAAATCATTGGAAAGAGACAAGAGTTTGCAATAATGAGTTAATTGTTCTAATATACAAATATAGTTTAGCGAGAGACATAAAGGGGTAGACATGACTGTTTTGAAGTGTGCTAATAGTCTTCTTGTTTATTTGTATTAGTTGACTGACTATTTTTGAACGTGTTTCGTGTCTTGTATAGGGAAAAGATCAGTCGTATTATTATACAGTTAGACGCCATTACGAGATGACTGAAACAGTACGAAGAAGGTTAACTAATTGTTTCACGATTGAAATGCATAGTCAATCAATTGCTGTCATTTTCTTCGCAACGCAATTCAATATGGAAGACAAGACCATATGGGTAATGATGATGACAGCAAATATATGGGCGTAAGTATAAACGAAGAAATGCTATTCTAAGCATGGATGTGAAGATATAACACGACAAGTCTAAATGATGGTGCTCAAATAGGTATTTCCTAAGTGCTGACATATCGTTCGAAAGGTGAAATAAATTAAAATTTGTCGTACTGTGTAGCTATACATAGACTATCTAAGTAATTGCAAACAAATTCAAAGAAAAATCGAATAGATACTCATATTGTACAGTGCACGAAATTATCTCATTTGTTTGTGTCAGACATCATATATTCTCCGAAGCGTGAATGCGCACTTACCTTCACACTCATAGAGCTTGTTAAAAAAGAGTTAAGACTATAGTAATTATTAATTGTTTTTATTTTCATCACTTGGGACAACTTTTAGAGGATCGTCACTGACAAAAGCAATAATGTTTTCACCAAATCCATTAAATTGTGACTTTAGCGCTATACTATAAGCACCTATTTCACCTACTTCAATATAATCATCGACTTCAATATCGTCCGGCAATTCAAATGGTCCATTCATTACATCTAGACTATCGCATGTTGGGCCGTAGAACCGAAAAGCTTTTAAATTATTTTTCTCTGCTCTGATTAGTCCGTTTTGACGAAGAAGACGTACAGGATAGCGATTATGTACCACAGGTCCAGCATCACATAGATTTCCATACGTTCCATCGTTTATGTAGATACTATCTTGTCGACGCGCTAATACTTGAACTATGATTGAACACGCTTCAGATACCATAGCGCGACCAGGTTCACATTGCAATGTCGTCTCTTTAGGCAAGTTTAAATTGCGGAAGCCACGTTCGATACTCTGGAAAAACTCGCCAAGAGGCGGCGGTATACAACCTGGGTAAGTTCCAGGAAACCCACCGCCGACATCGATAACGTCTATTTTGACATTCGCCTCATTGATAATGCGTTTTACTATATCTAGCGCATTTTCATAACATTCTGGCTCTAAACATTGAGAGCCTACGTGGAAGCATATGCCTAGTCGTTTAGCAATCGATCGTGCTTCGCGTAAAATCGTGACAGCATCAGTCGCATTGGCGCCAAACTTGCGCGATAGATCATGCAATGTCATATTTTCTGCTACTTGAATTCGCACAATGAGGCCAAGATCATCTCCGTTTTTGGTCACTTTAATGATTTTATGTAATTCTTCTATACTATCGAGTGCATAATCACGTACATTGTTATTAAAATACGCTTGGAATATCACACTTTTAGGTTTCACTGGGTGCATAAAATGAATCGTTGCAGACGGAAAAAGAGTACGAACTAATTTAATTTCACTTATTGATGCACAATCAAAATGACGAAGTCCAGCACTCCATAAAAGTTTCAAAATGCTTGGCTCTGCATTGCATTTTACTGCATAGAGCACATTGCCTGGAAATTTCGATAAAAAATAGCGCGCAGTGGCTTCAATTGTTTTTGGTCGAATACAAAACACAGGCACCGTTGGCTTCAATTGTCGTATAGTTTCATCAATAGGCAACAGTTGAGATGGCGTATTTAAAAATAGCTCATTGTTTGTCAGAACCGTAAGATTGTTACCATCTAATGAACAGTTTTGCACTGAATAATTTCCGATGGAAAATGACGACTTAGAACACTTTTTATTTAGCTCTGTTCGTTTGTTTACTGGTTGCATGATTAATATATCCATTCTTCGCCCTTCGTCAAATTTGAGTTGTGCGAAATACCTTCGTTTGTACAAAATATATATTGATGCGCGTTGGTGTTTGATGCTCCGCATGAATGCAACTTAATATTCACGTTCTATTTCGTTTGCGTGCAAATACATGTACATACCACACGATGTGCTTTCGAATTTCGAAAACGACCGTTTTTCTTTGTTGAATAAATCATTTTATGTTGGTTAGTAAAATCTTGAGGGTGTGGGTGTGAAGGTGGGCGAGGGTTGCGAACAACAAATCTTTGTTTTGCTTATCAAAATTAAATAGATCTATCGTTGTAAGTCGACAAACGTGAAATTCACTTTAGCCAACAAAGATTTCTTATACATATTTGATAAAAAGAAAGATAAACGTTTCTTTCACTTCTGTTGAGATAAAGTTATCGATAATTTCAATTTGATTCCACATCTCTTATTAATTTAAAAATCAATTTTCTCGGGATAATTTATTTCAAACAAATTGCATTCGATGAAATAGAATATGTCTTATCGAAAAAGATCATTGGAGAATATTCATTTGAAATGGCCACATTAGTCACAACTGCAACAGTACTTTTTAGTAAAGAAAATGTAATTATTAGGCAAAAAATCTTTCAATTCATTTCAAATTCGAAGAAATGAACTATCGATCAGTACTCTTCAACATACTTCATCATTAAGATATATTTGTTTGAGCGATATTTTTACCGAAAAGGATATTTATCTGATTCGACATTTGAGCTTATACGTTGGATTTGAAAGAAATGTAACTTATCGCCTTATTATTTTCTTTCTCTCTTTCTCTTTCAGATACCATTCATAATGGCAAATATTGAGTGAGATTCGAATGAGTTAAGTATTTTTATTTATTTAATGACTTTGAACTGATTCATCAGGTTTTATTTCAAGAGTGGATATCAAGTGATCATTGCGGATATTTTTGAATACGTCCAAAGGACGATTTCCACCTGATTGTTCTCAAGCTGAAAGAGTATCATACATTTGAATATCTTTAGCGAAAGAATCGATAGTTTAGGAGAAAAAATCAGCATAAACTAATTCTATCTTAAGTGCGAGTAGAGGTCTGCAGGGTACGACATTTTCATAACCTGCATCCTGCCCTGCTGAAGATTTCGTAACCTGAAACCTGCCCTGCCCTGCCCTTTTTGTAGAAAGATGAAACTTATTAGTGAAAGATCAAATACATTCCAAAAGTGAAATGTTCAAAGAATAAATAATACCGTTTTCATTTCTGACTAAATATTTGTGACCAATCGAAGTTATTTATCGAATACTTTTTATCTATTCTTTTAATATTTTTCTAAGATGCCATCAGTATATAGTATTTAATACTTTTTCCAGGTTGACAGATTACGACATTCGTACCCTGCAGGGCTCTAAGTGCGAGACAGAGACGTTTGGTTACATAAACATTCGAAATTTAACATGATTATTTTACAAGCAGAGTTTCCTCTGAATTATATTGTAATTGGTTCATTATGATTACCAATAGCCATAAGTTTTATTGAATATGAAAATGCAATATATGTCTTTCTACATATTGAAAAACGCAGCAGACGATCATCATAGACAAGAGAAAATTGAAAAATCGATTTTTATTATTGGTTTTCGCATGCGATGTTTTACACAAGTTTCATAAACATTCAAAAAAATTATCGTTACCTCTGCTTTCTCTTCGTTTTACACGTTACCTATAGGTAATATTTTTTACACACGTGGAAAAAACAACGATCTACGCATCAGTGAGCACTCCCGATGCAAAATACTTGCTTTTCATAGATGATTGTTAATTTTTCTCAGTTTTATAACTAATTACTGTGGACATATAAGAATTTTTCTTCTGTTTTTAAAAACGTTAAAATTATTTCGTTCATTACAAGATGGCTTCAGCTGTTTCTTCGACGAATCAGTCGGAATTACACGACAGCGACGAGCATCTCGAACTGTTTAGTCTTGTATGGCTCGATGCTAACACGGCGGTTAAAGATAATCGAGATACACAGCAAAAACTGCGTGCGATTATCAATCATCTTGTGAAATTTCGAGATCTACAAAGATGTCAACAATATATAGAACAGATGACAAATGATAAATTAGTGGTCATTGTCAGCGGTCGATTAGGCCGAGAACTGGTACCTGTTATTGACAAACTCCATCAAGTCTCATCGATTTATGTCTTCTGTATGGATCCGAAGAGTCACGAGCAATGGGCGTCCAAGTTTACAAAGGTGAAAGGCATTGTCAGTGACCTGAACCGACTTATATCTCAGATTAAAAGAGATCATAAAATTCAGTTGGTGGCGGAAGGACCATTGTCAATCAATTTATTTGCTACAAACAGCTCAGGGGAGTTAACAACAAGAGCTAATAGCGAATTCATCTTTTCTCAAATACTCATTGATTGTCTTCTACGGATGAAACCGAATACGATGGATAGAGAAGAACTCATTGCTCGCTGCAAGATCGAATACGAGGGCAACTGTATCGAGGCTGCTCATTTGCGTGAGTTTGAGCAAGACTATTCATCCGAAAAAGCGCTCTGGTGGTACACTCGACGAACATTCTTTTGTAAAATCCTAAATGCGGCGTTAAGTCGGCAGAATATTCATTTGATGTTTCTACTTCGCTCATACATTTTTGATATTCATCGTCAGCTACAACATTATCAACCCAAGTGTCCGTTACGAGTTTTTGGATGTCAGTTGATGTCGAGTGAGCAACTGAATACTCTCAAACAATGGGCTGGTCAGTATATTTCCGTGAATTCATTTTTTTCTGCTACCAATAACTCTTCGAAAGCACTTTCGATTCTTATCAATACCAATATTTCGGAAGATTTTCAACGAGTGATGTTTGACATTGATGCTGATCCTGGAAGAAGTACTAAACAGTTGTTCGCAGACATTAACGGATATAGTCATTTATCTGCCGAATTGGAAGTGATCTTTACGCTGGGCTCCATTTTTCGTGTCAAGAACACAAGTCACGGTGAAAATCAAATATGGACTATCAGCATGACTTTGCTAGATGACGATGAACCGGAACTTAAGAAAGTTCACGCGCATATTCAGCGTGAAAATGGAAGCGGAGAGACAAACCTTCAGATGTTCGGCAAGATCTTGTGGAAGATTGGACAAATTGATCTAGCTGAAACTTACTATCGTCGTGCTTTCAACGAACTTCTACCTGATGATCCTCTCTGCATTATTGTATGCGAAGATCTCGCTGCAATCAGTTCAGAGAAAGGTGATAATGATGCTTACACACGATGGCATCAAAAAGCACTCCAACTCAAAGATCAATCTGCACCAAGTAATAGTGCTAACAAACATAGAACAACTAGTACTTCAGGTAAGTCTTCTTAATTAAGAGCAAGTCATTCGTAAATAAATATAGACTAACACATCTTTTTTGTTAGATATTACAGTTAACAAAGACCATCCAAAAGAGCATGTTAATTCCATTCTGGGCTATGCCACAGAACCGCTGCTGCCACTCCTTGAAGCATGTAGACCATTGATAGGCATTATTCATGATTTATCTTCATATATTGAAACGGCGCTCAACAAAACTCCACAAGTGCCACCCGATGGACTGACGATCAATGAGAGCGCTGCAATTCGATTATACACGATTCAATGGGATAGTCCACACCAGAGTCTACACGTGATGCTCAACTCTGCTCTAGAATCGGGCGATCGTAAGAATGTTCAACCTTATTTTAAATATCTCAAACTATTGCTGACTGCTCTCGTCAAATTACCATGCGTTCCACCGCAGACTGTTTGGCGAGGAGTTAATAAAAATATGAGCGCTCAATTTTCGCAGAATGCAACGATAACATGGTGGTCGTTCTCATCATGCGCATCTTCGACAGCTGAACTCGAAACAAAAGGATCTTTCAGTAAAACAGGCGAGCGAACACTAGTTTCCATCGAAATTATCAATGGTCGTCGAATACGTGCTCATTCTTATTCTGACTCGCAAGATGAAATTATTCTTCTACCTGGCACTCAAATGGTAGTCGATTCACGATCGCAACCATCACTGGATCTTCATATTATTCATTTAAAGCAAATTATCCCAAATGAAATGAATCTCGAGCCACCTTTCAAAGGTATTATAAAGAGTTCCGTCATTTACTCTAAAATTAAATTTCATTTTCTCTATTGTTTTAGACGCAAATATTTTTCCAAAATCGAAGTAAGTTCTTCATTCACAAAACACATGTCTGAATTATATGTTTAGAAAATCGTCTTGGTACACCAAGCTAAAAGTAGTCTTGAAATAAACCAGTACAATTGTGTTTGATCTTTTCTCGCCGAACCCCCATAACAGACATCATGTACTATTGAAATAAAATAAAAAACAGATATTGACGCTTATTCAAATGATATATATGGCCATACTTGAGAATAATAAAACAGGAGTGAAGAATGCGGTGGATTAGGAAAAACCATTTTTTCTACCCATGTAAAGCTGCGTAGGAAGAAATCAATGAAAATTTTCACTTGTGTTTCACATGTGCACGAAGTAACAGTGCATACTTATATGCGTAAATTTTTTCACGATACTTTCAAGTGCATCTTTTTCCATGCGAAAACTACGATTCGGTTAGATCAAAACTATTCATTCTTATCATCGCGTGTGACACCGCTCTATGTCTTTTTTATCTCGTTGATACAGATAAGCAACGGAGAAAAAAATACTCATTTTGGTTGGACTACTGTCATCAGAAAGTAAATTAGTTATTCATCAAGAAATCTGATCAGAGGATGAGTGAGCGCAGACTTGAACCAGTTTTCCGGCGCATCGAAGATTGTCAAATGGAAGAGTCAAGCCATCCACTTGCTGGATATTTCCGTTGGTGGGCACTCATCAATGGAGATATGACAGCAACTACCGGAATCACCATGGGTGTTGCGGAAGCACCCGTCGCATTGCCTCGTCCAGTACGAATACCATGTTTTTGGTCGAACGACATTTGGTCGACGAAGTTTTGTCGACAAAGTTTTGTCGAACGTCTTTTTTGTCGAAAGTTTTTTTGTAGAAGAGCATTTCGTCGACAGAATACTTTGTCGATAAGACACTTTGTCGAATGTTTTTCGTAGAAAAGCATTTCGTCGACACAATATTTTGTCGAATTATACATTGTAGAAAAACATTTCGTCGACAGAATATATTGTCGATAGCACATTTCGTCGAAGGATCATTCTATATTGTTCTTTTCATTTGCTCATTAGTCAGGACACGGTTCAATTTTCTCTAATTATCTTTATATGTTTGATAAAGGAATAAAATATTCGAAATTAGAACAATAATCCAATATTCTATAAATAATGATCATCTACATCTGTATTTGACATTTACACTTTTCTGTTTCTGCTTAACATTATATTACAACTCACTGACCATTTACTGAATATGCGTGACAATGATGTGAAGTTTTCCACGACATCAAAACGAAGAGAACTACTAATNGATTCTTTTGTCTTATACCTTGTTAAATAAGAGAGCGTCACTCAATGATCGAATCCCGGTGCTCGATATTGAGTTGTTAGAAAGGTCGAGAATAGCAAGTCCCTATGTAAATACATGTGAAAACAGAATCATAGTACTCATATAAATAGATGATTTCGGTTCACTGTGTTCAATGTAAGAGCTTCACTCAATGTCTGAGCTCCGCTATTGGTTATTGAGTTTTTAGAGAGATCAAGAATAGCAAGTGCCTATGTGAGAACACAATTATTATAATGTGTAAACATCTAAGTGTTTTCGTCTCACCGTGTTTGTTTTTAAGAGTATACTCAACCTTTCAACTCCTTTGTTGCCTATTTGGTTATTGGAAAGATGGAGTGCAGTGAGTGTCTAACAGCGCACACAAAAACATAGAATCAGATGGTAGGTTTAGTTAAATATTTTTTCTCACTGTATTTGTTCGTAAAGCTTCGCACAATGAGTGAGCTCCGTCACCAGCTATTTTGTTATCGGAGAGATCAAGTTTCATAAGTGACTGTTCAAGGAAAGGAATGAAACATAAATAAAATAGATTTTAGCCTCTTAGCTACCGTTGATTACTCACCTCGTTCTTACGAAGTGAAAGGGAGAGCGTTACGATTCCATTGGATGTAAATTTGTTGTCTGATAAAATCAGGTCTGAACATTGTCTCTTGATAATACATTCACTGACTATGATATCCATGTCTACATCTGTTAATCGCATTGATTTTAAATCAATTTCTGCATTTCTTGAATGGTAACTTGCCAGGCGCTCTTCTAACTTGCGATTTGGCAATGCAGCTGGAAGAGATTTTCTTGATAAGGAAACTGTTGAAACTGCTGAAAATTGAACATTACGAATCGACCATGCTGGTTCGATTGCATTTAACTCGATCACGCAAAGTCCTTTTCCTCGTCCTTTGGAACTTACAACATTGAATTGACGAGCAGGAGGCAGCAACACCTCGTTGTCATTGTCGTGCATGGAATGTTGATGGATGTCTTTTCCCGAGTAGCATTTAATGAGAAACAACGTTTTTCTCCCAGCCCAGTTGAGATGAAGATGTTTTTCTAATTGATTCGTTCTTTTTACACAGGACGAAAATCCGCACCATGTGATAGTTTTCCCGACTGCATATTTACTTGACAAATCCATGTTGGCACTTCGAAAAACAATAAGAGGAGTGGACGGCAAATGTAATAGAGCTGTTAGAAGAAGTCGCAAGAAAAGATGCCATGGTCTTAATTGCTGTCTATCGCCAGAACGAAGTGTTTTGTTCAGAAGATGTTGTACAGAGCTTTGTAAAGGTTGCCATTCTAAAGTATATAATCGAATAGAATTTGATTCATCTCGGCTCAAACCATCCCTCGGTTCACCACAATTGGTTTTTATTATTTGAACCATGCGTTCGACTTCGGGTACAACTGAAGTGAGTGGAAGAATAGCTTGATGAAGAGAAACGACTGGCGTGCTTTCATAATCTTCGATGGATGAAATCATCTCGAGTGATTCTTCTTCGACTACATTTAAGAAACGCAATGTATTTTGCGATTCAGTGATGTCTCTCGAAGTCATGTTATTTTTCGGTTGTGTTTGAAACAGTGTGACTCATAACTCCCTATTAATTCTTATCGTTAAAGATAAACGAACGACAGTTTGTTTTAATACAAAGTTCTTCTTATCTTAAACGTAAATATTAAATAACTGCGTTACTTGAATAGAAAAGGAAGACAAATGGGAGCAAAGCCATCAAATGTATACAAACCGGCGGATGAAAATCTCGAATCGTTATCACTCGTGTGGCTTGATGCTCATGTCGATACTTCACGAGAAAATATTCAGATACAAAACCAACTTCGTTCTATCATCAACTATATGAAGACATTTCAAGATGTTTTGGAATGTGAAAAATATATTCGATCAGTTCCCGACGATGATCGAATATTNCCATCCCGTATGTTCAAGTATCTTTGTGAGCAATGAATGGATTAAAGCATTACAAATGGAATATGCCAGTGCATACTTAGTGATGGATTTCCGGAAAACAGGTAGCTCTCAGGTGAGTTAAGAGTTTAAGCCCTATTGAACATAAGTAATAGTGAAAAACTCTTGTTTACACTTCGTCTACCTATAGACATGATATTCCGAACATTGTTGAGAAAAAGAATATAAATTCGATTCATTTCTATTTAGTTCGAACTTCTTGCTGCTCTCTGCTCTATTTCTCAAGAGATAGTCTTACAAGCTCTCACTGACTTCAGCAATGAACAACTCATCAGTGCTCAGCTTCTTCAAGAAGATAATGTTCGTTTTCATACTATGGCAAGCGTTGATCTTGTTCGAACGACGACACCTGTTCAGTTGACTACAGTTTTAGAATTTCTTCAAATATCAACACGATCAAATTTTCTAACCTCTGCTCTTCAGAACAATATGATACTTACAATATACTCACTGAGTGGTCGATTAACTTTATATTTATTTGACAGTACTAACTTTTATAACGAAAACGCTTCCTCCAGTGCCAGTTCATATGGATCATCGTGCCGCTCGAAAAGTCCGTTAACGCGAGCTGGATTCTATTCATTGCCACTTTACGACAGTGCAGCCAACCACGGTACTTGGCCTAAGCTGCCTCCGCATTTCGAACCAGTGGCTTCTGCAACAGTCGATGGATTCTTTGGTGGATGCAACGCACTTGATGCTCTCCTAGCTAGTACACTTGACTGTCTATACGATACTACTTGTCTCACCAATTTCATGAACTATTTTCCTAGTCTCAATCAGGTAATGATATACTTTCGAACAGTCAAGTTTGTTGCATAATTTTTTTTGTGTTTGTAGATGGATGTCAATATTTCTGGCCAGATTTTACCTTCGCCGCGGTCGGGTGTTACTCTGAAAACGCTCCTAAATCAATCGTTGATTGACAATTGGACAACGACTATCAACTATTCCCAATACTTCACACAGTGTGCTCCATTGTCTTGTACTTACACGGAGACTGTTCAGGTTAACATTTCTTATACTGTTACTCTACTGCTCGGTCTTTATGGTGGTTTGACTATTCTTCTGCGTCTTCTCGCAGTTTTCTTAGTGAGAATATTTTCAAAAGTGCTATGTCATTCAATTCATATCAGTCCAGCCGTAGGTACGTTTTAAGATCTCGAAAAGAAGTATTTTATAAAATAAATCATTGTTAATTGTTAGTGAGCGGTGTAACGCAAATCAGAAGATTCGCTCTATTTATACAACAAATCAATTTGTTCAAGTCGATCAATAAGCGCACTGCGATAGATATTGGACGACAACGTGTCACTACACGGATGTACTTAACCGCTCTCGCAAGTATGATTTCGACAGAAAAATAATGTAGTTTGATCTAATCTCAAGGAAGGATCACAACGTGATCGACCGACTCGAAATAAACGATTAACATGTATTTTTTATCATTTCAGCCTCCATATTTGCCCTGATCCTGTCCACTTCACTCAGTATTGAAACAACTGTGATGATTGTTCCTCACCCTTCATTGTCGACATACATGGATTTGCAGAGCTCGCAATCGAATATGCTCAAATGCCCTTGTTCAAGCGTAGCCATACCGTATCAAGTCCTAATTTCATGGGCACCAACGTTTCATCAGGTGTGTTCCAGTGACTTCGTCAGCCAACTTTGGAGTTCATCACTGTATTATCTCGATGCCACCTTCCTGAACTATCCACTCACTGAATGGAATAGTTTAGGCATGCGTCATTTCTTGCTACTGTCTACGCTATGCCAACTCAGTTACAAAACTGTTACTGATGCCATACAACGGTTTGGTGGACAATCACTGGTCACTTTGAATGTTATCAACCAAGCTGATTTTACCAGTCAAGTGAATACAACAGTGAATGAATTCACTGAAACATTGATCACTAATTTTGCACTTCTTGTTGATGCCATGCGACTTTTCACGCAAACAGATCAACCTTACACAATGCTTAACAATGCCAAGCTGGTTGCTTCGACGACACGAAACCAGATCACTAATGAAACACTGCTGCAGGTCTGTTGATCTAAAAATTCTAGAGTTATTCTTGTGATTAATACACCCTTCCATAAAAGACTAAAAGTTAGAAGTGTTTTGTACTAAAATATTAGCGAACTGAGAAATCAGATAGGACGGGGGTTTTGTAAAAGGCAAAGGTAAAGTCAATTACTTCTATTTAGATCCAATTTCAACTTACCGGTCCGATAGATACTAGGACAGCAGCGAATCACTGTATTTGCGCTATTAATCCTAATTGTTACAGTCCTGTTACGGTTGCTGTTCTCGTTCTGCAGCGTGGCTATTATGTCTACAGCAACAGTACTTATCGCATGCCAGGATCAATCATGGGCTGTTTTATCGTCGATTCTCTGCTACTCTCCACACTCGAATGTTATTATTTGGATTCATGTCTGACCATATATGACAGTTATATCAACCGCTCTTATCGTGCTTTTAGTATAGATCCACCAGGTTTTCGACCTCGTGCACTCGCTTATGACTCGGCAAAAAGTCGCTTTCCCCCCGATACACTCCTTTCGATGATAGTAAAAGAACTGATGATTGAGCAGTGGAATGTATCCTTCTCATTTGATCAATACTACCAAGCGTGTGCGCCAGTCCAATGCACTTATTCTTATACTAGACGAAGCAATGATTTTCTAAGCATTGTAATCACGTTGATTTCAACTGTTGGCGGACTTGCTGCTGCACTCAGAATCATCATACCTCTACTGATAGCTACTGCTTGTGGTTTATTCAAATCAAAGAACAGTCAGCAACGAGATCCAGAACAACAAAGTAATAAGAGAAATTTGTTGATTGACGAATAGTCCGGAATAATCATTTTCTTGTTAGATACCCTAAACATCGCTTGTTTGTTTGTTTGTTTCATTTCTAGAAAACCTAAAAATGTCCGACAGGATCAAGGTGTTATCCGGTCAAGTTGTCCGGCTAATATTCACCAGACTAGCCAATTTAAATATTTTTCCCTTACGAAGCTTTGGAAGTCGTATGGATCGAAAAGATGCAATCTATCTTGGTAAAATAACCACACGCTTTTACATTGTACTTCTCATCGTGAGCGTCGTCATTTTGGCACTGTACACTGCTGTTCGACCTCGAATTATCACAAAAGTGTTCGTGAAACCAACGTTCAATCTGTACAGCGATCTTCGGCATGATCACGGGGATGCTCTCCAGTGTCGTTGTTCATACATTTCATGGACGTATGATAACTTTGTACACATCAAACCAACGTTTCATCAGGTAAACAGTCTAATAGACCGAATTTATATTATGGTTAACTTCTTAAAGATATGCTCAGGCCCATTTGTTTTGGAACAATGGCGAACTAATATTACGGACAAACTAGTGTCTGATCTGTCTGCTTACCCAATGAATGATTATCGTCGTTTTCTCTCCTCGCATTTACAGTTTCTTTCTGGATTATGTAGCCAAACTACTAAGTCGGTGAACAGATCACTTGCTCAGTTTTTGTCATCGTTCTTCGTCACCAATGAACTTCTTTCACCAGAACTGTTTCAGACACGGATTGAGTCCGCTGTTGACCAAAACAGATTCAAAGCTTCTGTCGTGTTCAATCGTGCTTTATCTTTACTTCAAATTACTAATCACGGAAATGATGTCATATCCGCATACGGGAGTAACTTTCAGCTTATTGATCCATGGTGGCTCAACAATTCTTATTCGAGCGCGATAACTCGCGCAATAACATACGACAACAATTGTTCCTGTGCGTTGAATATGAGTTGCACTACACAAGCTGGATTTGTCACGACAAGTTTGCCTTCGTTTGTACCAATTCAAGGTCTCAAAATGGGCTGTACACCAAATGAAGCATTCCTTGCTTCGACACTCGAATGTTTCTATAATTCGACGTGTCTTGGTCTCATCCTACAATATACGATGA